TACGACGTCCTCTCTCTCTCTCTCTCTCTCTCTCTCTCTCTCTCTCTCAACCCAGCCAAAAAAGAAAAGCTTATCCCTCTCATGCACCCCAAGCCTCTCTCAATATCCACCAGATATCCTAGCAAAAAGGGCCTCGACTACCTTAAATATCATAACAGGTTCAAGGAGACTCAAATATAAGTACCATTGTTCTTTTTTTCCCATGTTTTGTGTGTTAATCTCAATTAGGTATTGGCTTTTATTGCCCCCTTGTTGAGGGGCATTTTTAATCTTTTTTATCCTTAAATTATGGGAAAAGGGGGGTTAGGTTATTGTGTGACCTAAACCCCTTTATTTACCTTTAGAGTGGAAAGAAAATTTAAAAACAATTACTTCTTTACATTTTTAAGAGATCGATCGGGTATTTCAGAGTTTTGAAAAATCGATCCAAACATCGGCTTTTTGGTTTGGATTTGATTTTGATGAATTTTGAAGATTATTAGAGGGTTTTTGGGAAGTATTTGAGATTGAGAAACATCTCAAAGATTGAAGATTGAATATCGAGCAAAAAGGTTAATTAAAAATCTTCATATCTAAGAAATTATATCTTATTTCAATGTCTTCTTCGGGTTGTTCTGAAAGTGGTGATCAGGGTTGGAAGTATGGTTTATAGCCTGAATACAAATGAGAAAAATCATATGAGATGTAATTATTGCAAAAACAATACTAATGGGGGTCTAAACCAGTTCAAAAAACACCTTGGCAGTATTAGGGGGAATGTTTCCCCTTGTAAAGATGTTTCTAAAGCTATCAGAGAAGAGATTTAAGCAATATATAAGTTCGGTAAAACACAAACAAGAACAAAATCTGTGCCATTTGATAAGTCTATTTTAGAAGTAGTGATCCGGGTTTGGAACTATCACTATAACCCAAAACCAAATGATAAAAAATGTATAAGGTGTAATTTTTGTGAAATAGATACCAATGGGGGTATTAATTGATTCAAGAAACACCTAGCCGCTATTAAAGGGAATGCTGCTTCTTGTAAAAAAGTTCCTAAAGCTATTAGGGATAAGATTAAACAATATTTGAATTTAGTAAAACCAGAAAATGAGCCTTGTTATATAGAAATATCTTCTTCAGGTTCTTCTAGAAGTGGAGATTCGGGTTGGAAGTATGGTCATAACCCAAATATGTATGACAAAAATTACATAAGGTGTAATTATTGTCGAAATGATACTAATGGGGGTATTTATCAGCTAAAGAAACACCTTGTCAGTATTAAGGGGGATGTTGCCCTGTGTAAAAATGTTCCTAAGGTAACCAAGGAGGAGATTAGGTAATATTTGAGTTTAGTGAAATACAAAAAGCAAGAAAAGGGTGAAGATGCACCAGGTAAAGCAGCCAAGACTCCTAGGGCCTCATCTGCATAGAGTAAGAGGGGGCTAGAAACACAGCAGGACGAGTATTGTGTTAAAGAGAGAGATGACTTTGATGATGTGATCTCGAATCCAATGCATATGATGAGGCTTACCCTACTTTTTTTTATCATGACTGAAGACACTTGACTCTTAGTGTTGAGTCTTAGACTGTATATTTTCTTTTTCTAGTTTTTACAATCTACTCTTATGTGTATTCATGTATGGTTGTATCATTGTATGGAAATATGAATTATGGAGCATGGCGTATGGTCTATGGAGGATTATAGATTGTGTTTGTATTACTAACTCACCGATTATTACTTTATTTTATTTTGGTTTGTGCTAGTTGTCTATATATTACGAATACACAATGGTTTGAAACTTTTTGGATTATGGGACTTTTAATATTTTATGGTGTATACTCATATTCCCCTATCCCTTGCCCCTCTTCTTCAACCTAGGTCCCACCCAAGGTTTGGGAACACTGGTGGGACCCAAACCCTATCAGATCCAATCCAAAAATTAAAATATTTATGCATTTAATTATACTAAATATATTTCATGAATTGGGACCTGAAACAATATAGCAGGACCCAGACCCAAACCCGAATAGTGTTCAGGTCCAAGATTGAGACTAGGACCCGACCAGCTGGGTCCAATTTTTAGACCCATACCTAGAACCAAATCAAGTCTACCCCTCGGGTCCCGAGTCCGGTCCATTGCCGCCCTTGTATAAATTCCTACGTAAGCCTATGGCCACATCATAATTTTACGTTGAGTAACAAATTGGGCTCTCAATTGTGGTGAGAGACTACCTTTAGAAGAGAGATTCCTCAGCTCCTTTGGTATAGAGAGTGATTCTACAACACCAGCCTAGATTTGGAAGAGTCTTGCCAAAGGTTAAAGCATCTTCTTTATTTGGTGGAGAGATTCTCAAAAACCTAGCTTGTGTATTGGAGGTCCTTCCCACGTTAGCTTGGGTCCCTTCTTTCCTCTATTTTGTGAAACATCTCCATCCGACCAAATCCGCCAACCTATTTCTACCCCATCAAATCAATGATTTGCCTAACCCTAATAACATGGCCCACCTCCTTCCCACACACATCACCCACCAACCATAAATTAGTGTAATCTTGCCTCATTCCCTTCAAATCATCAATTATCCTTGCTGGACCTGCAAGTTTTGAGTAATTTCAACCTTCTTAACACCTTCTAAACCTGACCCCAATTGTTTCCCCTAGTAATATTTAGTCTTCCCATCATTTTACCTCAATCCTACCATAGTTACACCTTAAATTCTTTACTCCTATTAGAACTAGGAGACCTTGATAACCAAGTTGCTATAAACTTTGTAGGAGACCTAATCCTTAAACTCCTAAATCTTAACCTAATTAGAACTTCTAATCCAACCTGCGAGTTTTCTCTCTATGCTTGCCTCATGTGCGAAACTTGTGTAAGAGCCAAGGCCCTTGGTCATACACCACACTACATTGATATATACCTTGCAATCACAAACAACAATAAGATAGCCTTCAAGCAACTACGCTTTTGACAGGTCAACTAAGCTATCATTCCGATGTTCTCATCCTTCTTGGCCACAACCATCACCTTATCAAAGATAATTTGAGCCCAGCAACAATGAGTCAACTATCTCCTCATGATCAGACTTCCCAGCTTCGACTTCCTAGTTCAATACTCATTTTGGCCTTTCTATTCTTCCAACTGCTGGCTCCCAAAAGAGATGAGGCCTGGCATGGACCAAATAAACCTGGCCAGCCCCTAAATCTGCCCTGCTTGCCAGCCCAGGCCTGAAAACCATGCCCAATTGTGAGGACTGCCTGTGCCTAAGGTCCATGGTTAGGTCCAATCCAAAAAATTTTACATTAAAAAATTATAAAAAGCAGTTAGAATGGGATTCAAATTCGAATAATGACCAGCATTACTGCAAATAAACACTTAAAGCCCTCCCCCCACAAAACAAAACAAAAAATAAAAATAATAATTAAAAAAACTAATTGTATAATGTTTCACTTCTAAAATATATAATAGGGATCGTATACAACGAGATCATTTATCTGTGGTATAAGGAGGTTACTTACTTACAACCATCTGATGTGAAATCTGATAAAATTTCTTTTGAACTTTGAGCTTGCTCAATGGAATAAATGTAGACATCCAACTTCACATCCAATTGTCAAGATTAATCCTTGTACTAAAGATAAATTGTCTCAATGCATATATTTCTTACATAATAATATAATGTTCTGTGAATATATTTATTATTTAAACTATCAAAAAAATTAAACATATAAAACTCAATCCCTCCCCTCCCTTGCATATAAAATCCAATTTTTCTCTCGTACACAAAAATCCAATCTCTCTCCTAGCCAGAATTCTCTCTCTCTCTCTCTCTCTCTCTCTCGTAACTAAAAAACTACCTCCCCCCTACCCCCACCACACACAACACACTACTCTACTCTACGTTCTTCTCTACACCTACCACGTACCAAC